GAGGAGGAGGAGGAGGAGGATTTCGGGAGGTCTCGGGGGCAATCGGAGGTTTCCGGCCCTGGGATGCCTCCCAGCGGCTGCGCCTCGCCGAGAGCGCCCTGGGGGGTGCCCGGACCGGCCGCCGGAGAGGCGAGGCAGGAGCCGAGAAACCAAAAGGCAGCGACAGGCTCAGGGGGGGATGCATCCATCCCAGTCGCCCATTCATCGCCGATGAGGAGCCCGGCGGCCCGCCCCGCCCAGGAACGTGCGGTGTCGCTGTCGGGGGCCGATCGCCGATATCGGAGGTGCATCGCCAGTGCAAGCTCGATGTCTCCCCCCCCGGGCTGGCCCCCTTGCAGTCGGACCGAGGTGGAAGATCGAGGCTGGCTCGGGGAGGGTACCCCAGTGTTCTTCGTGCTCGTTGGATGTTCTGTGCGTGCTCTGGCCGACGGAGGGTCTCACGTTCTTGAGGGGCGTTCTTCTGGCCCAGGTCCGACTGCATCGTGCCCCCTCGGGTCGCCCAGGGCCGTGCCGTCCGCGGAGGAATCGAAGAAGAGCAGATCCCTGGACTCGAGACGGGGATCGACTACAGAATTGGTTTACCCCAGAATTGATCTGTCCGCTGGAAGCACGAGACATTCGAATCATGCTCGTTGATCTACGGTCTACGAACATTCTACGTATGACCCGACGAAAGAAATCAACGGAGCGTTGCAAGAAGGGCCCCGCCTTCGAGGATCGAAGGAGTTGCCATCTCTTCCTCGGCGGAGGGCGGCGGAAGGGCGGAAGGGAAGGTCGGCGGAAGGGAAAAACGAGGCCGCCTCCGCCAGCGGGAGCCGGCGGAAGGCCAGCGGAACAATGGCGGAAGGTGGCGGAAGTAAAAGATATGCCCCCGAGAGACGAAAACGTGTTTGTTTTCAGGGTTTCCAGGGTCCGCCAAATATCGGAGTATACCTATATTACATAATATTTGCATATCAAGTAATGAAACGTCAGTGAATTGATTCTTTAACATTAGACACATCAGATTTATATTTACCACCTTTTAAGAAACAAAATATTGATGTTGTGCGGAAGACAAGCTCCGGGGGGAGGGTGTCCGGGGAGGTTGTCGGGCTCCTCGCGGGGTTGTCCAAGGGGTTGTCCGCGATTCTGTTTGATGCTTCAGGGTGTTTTGGGCGATTTCGTGGGCCGTTCTCGCTTCGATTTTTCGTTCTGCGGCGAAGGCGGCTTCGAGACAACAGCCAGGGCAAACGAAAACAGCACGAACACGAAAAACACCGTTTAGGTTCAGCCCCGTGATACCAGCATTTCCTTTGGGTGGAGGGCAAAGGGTGAAATCTGAAATGCCGTTTCGATGGATTCTTGAGGCTTGAATCTGCATCAAGTGAACCACAAGACGGCTTGATTTGCGAGGTGCAAACGCTCATATGGATTTCACCCTGAGCCCTCCGCCCTAAGAAAATGTCCAGGTGATACAGTCGGGGCCCTGAAGAAGGACCCCTTTTCGTTGGGGAGGGGCTCCGCGTTCCTTAAGTGTTTCACAGCTTGTCTCAGGCTTTCCTGATGTTTTCGACAGGAAATCGAAGGTTAATTTATGGAAAACAAGGGGCCTCGTTCCTTATTTAAGGTTCCTTAGGTCAAGGCCCCGACTGTACAGCACAGCACATCAATGGTATATAGGCGGTTGCCGGCTCGCAGGGCGCGTGGCTCTCCCAGTGCTCGGCCTTCTTCGGGGGCCCTCGCCGTGGCCGGAGGGGCCGCCCGGGAGCGGCCACGGGGTGTGCGGGACGGGCCGCGGAGGAGGGGCGACTACAATCGGCGCTCCGAAAGTTTATTCCGATTTTTTGAGAGCCTTCGGCCAAACGGGGCGCTGGGCTGCCCATCGGCGCGCCGACTCTGCCCTCGCGACATTGCCAGGAGGAGGAGGAGGAGGAGGAGGAGGAGGAGGAGGAGGAGGAGGAGGAGGAGGACATGCGCCCTCGGGCCCCGCGAGTCTTGTCCCGCGCGCGCCACCCCGGATGGCCGCGGCCGGCACGGTGGCGAAACTGGGAAACTTTCGGATCGGCGCAGTATGGTCGGGCTGCTAAGGTAAGGAGCGCCACCTAAGGAACGAGGCCCCTCAGGCCTCTGCGGCTTCGAAAGAGCCTGCGTGCACGCGAAGGGCCAGAGGAGCAGCCACGGACGGGTGCCAGGAGCACCGAGCCCCTTCCGGATCCAAGCTGTGCCTTGTTTCAGCGTCTTGGCTGTGTAGACGTAGGGGCGGCCTTTCGCCGGAGTGGCCTCTGGTGCGGGCACGGTGTGGTCCCCCGACGGCTGGCTGCGGTGCGACGCAGTGGGAGCCCATGCCAAGAAGCACTCTGCTTGCCTCCAGGGTGCCCTGGGGTTCTTGGGCTTCGATGGTCTTGCGACGGAAAGCGTGGTGCTCCCACACCAAGAAATAATGGACGTCCTGGGGTCCCAGGAGTGGGCTTCTTGTGGAAGGTGTCTCGTGGCCGAGCTCCGACTGTAGACGCAAGAGTGGCCTTTCGCCAGAGTGACCTGTGGTGCGGGTGCGGTGTGGCCCCGTGGTGGCTGAATGCGATGCGATCGCAGCGGCCTGCGCGCTCCGCTTCGGCCTCCCCGCGGCCCCATTCGAAACTCGCGCATGGATGGCCCCTCTTGCCTGGGGCAACTCTTGCGTAGCCGAAGGGGGCAGTGACTTCAGCGACCACGTGCTGAGCAAATGTGTTGCTCTGCAGTCGTTCCTTCCTCCGTCAAGCAGTGGCGGGGCGTCCCGGCTCCAGAGATGTTCTGAGAGTTGTTTTGGTCGCTGGCACGAAACATGTTCTTGGAACGTGTCTGGCCGAGGTGGTCTTCTGGGGCCTTCGTGTTCCAGGAACCTTGCTTTTGTTACGAGGACACTCTTTTGTTGAGTGTGTTCCCGGGCCAGGCCCCCTTCCCCTCAATAGAGCTGCGCGCAGGAACTTGTCAACTTGATTTTCTGGTCGGTGCCACTTTGGAAGTGTCGGCGCGTCGCCCATGGCGGCCAGGTGATCCCAACACACACAGACACAAACACACACAGACACAGACACAAACACAGACACAGACGCAGACACACACACACACAACAGCACACACAAAAACACACCCAAAAACACACACAAGCACACATACAACCACAAACACAAGCACCAGCACAAACACCCCCCCTCCCCCCCCACACACACACACACACACACACACACACACACACGCACGCACGCACGCACGCACGCACGCACGCACGCACGCACGCACGCACGCACACACACCACACACACACACACACACACACACACACACACACACACACACACACACACACACACACACACACACACACACACACACACAACACACACACAACACACACACACACACACACACACACACACACACACACACACACACACACACACACACACAAACACCCGCACCCACACCCACCCACACACACACACATTGCATATTGAAAAGGCAAGTGGCACGCCTCCCAAGCGCCCTGCGCCCCGATGCTCTAGACCTGGCCCCCCTCCCCCAGCAACCTCAACTCTTCTGCTTTCGGATCGGCGGCGAGCGATGGGGGAAGCGAGCAGGCGAAGGCCCTCTCAGAAGGCGGCCCCCGACTTCTCAGAAGCCCTTTTGCGCCACTCCGAGGAGGCCGCGCTCTGCGACGCCGGGCGTTTCGCGCCCGCTCTCGCGGCGGCGCGCGGCGCGGGCCTCGCCGCCGAGCGCGCCGCCTGGGCGAGGGCCCGCGTCGCCTCGGGGTGGCTCGCCGCGGGCCGCTACCACTCCGTCGCCCTGGGCGCGGAGGGCCGCGCCGTCGCGTTCGGGCTGAACGCGACGGGGGAGGCTTGGAGGAGGAAGGCCCTGACCTTCCAGGAGGGCAAAAAAATAGCACCAGGACCTCGACATCCTAATTCCTGTCGAGGTTTTAGGCAGCCCAGATAGGTCTATAGGTCTGGAGGGCTTTTTTTTAGCACTCTGGAAGGTCAGGGTATACCTCCCCCCCCCCCCGCCCGTGTCCCCCTGGGTGTGCCTCCTGGGAGGCCCTCGCCGCCACTGCCGGATATTCGCCTCGAGATCCTATGGCCGGAGCGCGCCCCGGGGGGCGAGGTCTGTGGGAGCAGCGCCGTCGGTGCTCTGGTTTATCCCCAGAGGCGTCCATGCCTGCCTGCTCGGGGTTCGTGGCGGCCGCGGCTGGCGCCCAGCACACGGTGCTGCTCCAGGGGAGCGGGGGCGCCTGTGCTCTGGGGCAGAACTTCTGCGGGCAGTGCGACGTCCCTGCGCTGCCCCGCGGCGAGCGGTACGTCGCCGTGGCGGCCGGGCACTTCCACACCGCTCTGCTCAGGAGCGACGGCCAGGCCGAGAGGGACCACGAGAAGCATAGAAGCCGGCACAAGCATAATTTGGCAATGCTCCGCGCGGGTTTCTTGGCTCTGCGCCGGACTGGACCCCCGCGGCGCCTCCGCCGCCGCGCGCCAGGCACGGTGACCCGACGCCGGTCTGAGGAGCCCGCGCGGATCCTCGAATGCTTACGTCTACTGTGCCGTTGTTCCTGGCATCGCTCGGACGTGTGCATGTTTTCTCGGCGAGAACCATCGAGGAGCATCCTTGAACATTTGGCGAAAAAGCCACGCACGAAACCGAGCAAAAACACAGGGAATGGACGTCCGAGCGATGGCGAGTGTTCTGTCTTCTGCCGTGAGGTCGTGGCGTTTGGGAGCAACGAGCACCACCAGTGCGACCTGCCCGCCCTGCCATTCGGCTCCCGCTGCCTGGCCCTCGCCGCCGGCGGCCGCCACACGCTGCTCCTGTGCGGCCGCGGGGGCGTGCACAGCGCCGGCGCCAGCGACCGTGGCCAGCGCGAGGTGCCGCGGCTGCCGGCCGGCGTCCGCGTCGTGGCCGTCGCTGCCGGGGAGGAGCACAGCGTCTTCCTGCGCAGCGACGGGCGCGCCTCCGCCGCGGGCTCTCCGGCGGACGGCCGGTGCGTCGTGCCGGGCCTCCCGCTGGGGCTGCGCTACGTGGCCGCCGCAGCCGGCAGGTGCCACACCGTCCTGCTGAGGAGCTGCGGCCAGGCCGTGGCCTTCGGCGGCAACTCCCACGGCCAGTGCGACGTGCCGGCGCTGCCGCAGGGCCTGCGCTACGTGGCCGTGGCAGCGGGCCACGACCACACGATCCTGCTGCGCAGCGACGGGCGTCTGGTGGCCTGCGGGGCTGGTAGCGAGGGCCAGTGCCGGGTGCCCTCGTTGCCTCCCGCGAGCTTTCGATTTGACGCCCTGGATGCGTACGAGAAGGACGCGGCGGCGGATTCGAGGCACCAAAGCCACGGCGCCGCAGCAACCACCGACGGGCACCCCGTGGAAGCCGAAGGCCGCGCGGTTGACCGATTTGCAGGCAGCGACGGCGGCTGTGGCGCAGCCACCGCTGGGGGTCTCCCCGCAGATGTCGACGCCCGCGCTTGCAGACCACATGTGAATATCGACGACGGCAGTGCTGCAGCCGCTACTGGTGACCTTCCTGAGGACACAGGTGGCCTCGCCTTCGAGCCCGTGATAGACGACAGCGACGACGATGATTGTCCCGCAGCCGCACCTGTTGACCTGCCGGAGGATACAGGCGGCCTCGCTTTCCAGCCCGTGATAGACGACAGCGGCGACGATGACTGTGCCACTGGTGGCCTTCCTGAGGACCCAAGTGGCCTCGCCTTCCAGCCCGTGATAGATGATAGCGACGATGATGACTGTGCCGGAGCCGCCGCTGGTGGCCTTCCTGAGGACACCGGTGGCCTCGCTGTCAGCCCAGTGGTAGACGATGGCGACGGTGACGCCACCGCAGGCACCGACGGCCCTGCCTTCGGCCGAGTTGTTGGTGGCGATGACGCCTACGCTGCAGCCGCCAGAGGTGAAATCGCTGCGGATTCTGAGGACCTCGCTTTCAACCCCGTCATAGATAGCGACGATGATGTGGTGGCCATGCCATGAAAAAGTTGACCCGTCGACCAGGACAACAACCTCGTGCTCTTGCGCAAGCTCCGTGCAGTGTACGGCCTGCGCTGCGCCTCCTCCGCGTAGGTGGTTGATCATTTTGCCAGCACGACCCTGGAGCTCTTGGAGGATGGCGCCAAATTCTTCAATCTGTTCTTTGTCGACGGCGATGATCCCAAGGTCGTGCTGGAGCTGGCAACCAGGCGAGCCCCAGTCAGCGCCGGCACGGAGCGATATTTCATCAGGAGAAGATCAATTAAGCAGCTGTTCGGTTGGCAGGAGGGCCTCTGCGGCCACTTCTCTGGCGAGGGCGCGTCCCGGCTCCCGCCGAACTTAGCAGCGGTCACGTTCCCCACCCAAGTCTCATTGTCTTAGCAGTGACGGGCCCCACAAGGCGTGCTCGACGCAGACCATGCGAGCAGCATCGACGATCCTCGCTTTCGATTTGGACCTGCAGGCACGCCTGCCGCACTTCCCCGGTCCCAGCCGCCAGGCGGCGGAGTGGAAGGCGGAGCTGGGTCGCGGCACGGAGAACATGCTCGACGAACTTTCGCCGCCGCAATGGGGTAGCAGCTGGATCGTTGTCCTCCTACTCCTCCATCGACCCCCTGGACGACAACCACAAAGCACACAGCTGCCCTCGAAGAACGAAAACAACATAAACACAAAATCTCGGAGGTCCGCGCGGATTTCTTGGATCTGCGTTGGGCTCCACTGGCGGCGCCTCTGGCGCCGCCCACTAGCGCGCCAGGGGAGGGGGGGTCCGGCGCCGATCCGAGGAATCCGCGCGGGCCTTCGCGACATTGTGTTCGTGCAGTTCGACGGCGAGGATGGATCGCCCGCGGCCCAGGCATTTGTGGTCCGCGAGGCGCCCCGAGGGAAAGGCCGCGCACGCGCGCTGCCCAGCCACCGCCGCCGCCCCTTCGTTGTCAGACGTTATTTCCAAACTGATCTATATATATATGTGTATAAATGTGTATATATATGTGTATATATATATATATATATATATAGTATATACATGTATATAGATTCCCCAATCAGAGCTTGCCTCTGTAGGGGTGCTAGCGGATTCATAAGGTTAGGTGAGTTTCGCCGCTGATTTCTCCCGTGTGCCCGGGTACCTTATAGCCCTATGGTCCTATATTGGTCCTATAGTAGGTCCTATAGCCCCATAGCCCTATAGCCCTATAGTCTTGTAGCCCTGTAGACCCATGGCCCTATAGAGTCATAGCCCTCTGGCCTATAGTCCTACAGCCTTATTGCCCTATGGCCCTATAGCCCTATAGCCCCATAGCCCGATAGCCTTAAAAGGATTATGATTGGGGCTTTTTCTCCAGTATCATATATATATATATATATATATATATATATGTAGATTTATGTGTATATTCCTCTTCCTATATTTTTACAAGCCCAGGCGGGGGGAAAACCCGTCCCCCCCCAAAACAAAAACGGACTCCCGGGATCTGGGGCTTTGGGACCCTCCGGACGGGCCTCGAAGCGGCCCCCGGGCCTCGCATGGCGTTTTGCCAAGCCTTTCCAGCACACCTAGGGCGATCAGGGGGGTCATCGGAGACGTCCCAGAGACCCCCAAGACAGCACAAGAGCGCTCCAAGAGTGACCGACGTGACCTCAAGATGGCCCTAGAGGCCTCCAGGACGGCCCCAAAGAGGCCTCCAAGAGCACTCCCAAGAAGGCCCCCCGAGGCAAAAATTATTGATTTGCCTTTCGTTTTTGATGAATTTGGGGGTTCTCCTCTTTTCGGCTTCCCGACGCTCCAAGACGGCGGTCTTCTGGGCGTCCGAAGCCGCCTGGGAGGCTCCAAAATCGCCCCACAACCATCCGAAAGGGCTTCCAGGCAGTCCAAGAGAGTCCAAAAATGGCACAACACGGGTCCAAGATGGCCCCCAGAGAGCCCCATGGCGGCCCAAGATGGCCCAAAGACACCCTCCGAAGCATTCCAAATCGTGACCCGGTCGTTCAGGGAGACCGCGGTTGGAGGCAGGGTAGCCCGAGGAAGCCCCAGAGGCCCCCAAAATACGCCAGGAGGCCTCCAGAAGGCTTTGAGAAGCCTGAAACAACTTTTGTGAGGCCCCCAGAGGCTCTCCAAGGAGGAGCCTCCGCAAAAAAGAGCTGAGGAGGATGGGGAGAATGCGCAGGGTATGGCGAAAATAAGGAGAAAAAAAAGCATGGAGGAAGGATAACGAATAACATTATGATAGCGGCGATGCCGGAAAAGGCAACAAGGATGTATCGCTAAATTGTCGGCTTGACCTTCCTGCTAGTCCGCCTGCATACCAAACTTCAACGACCAAGGTGCATGGCGCGAAGCGCCACTGCAGTCTTGCGTATGTATGTGTGTGTGTCTGTGTGTGTGTGTCTGTGTGTGTGTGTGTTTGTGTGTGTGTGTGTGTGTGTGTGTGTGTGTGTGCGTGTGTGTGTGTATCGCAGTAGGCTGGGGAGGGGGAGGCGGACCTGTGCCATGGGCGCCCCCCGGGGGTTTTGGGGGGGTCCCAGAGCTCCCGAGACGGCCCAGGCCCGCCCCAAAACGGGCCACGGCAGGCTAAGGGGGCCCCAAGAGGGCCCACGACGGTCCCAAGAGGCCCCCAAAGACGGCCAAGATGCCCTCAAGACGGCCGACGAGAACCCCAACACGCTATTCATACATTTCCGATGGTTTTCGGAGGATTTTGGCGTCCTCGCTTTCCCGCTTCCCAACGCTCCCTCACGGCCTCGGAGGCCCTTCAGATCGCTGTAAGATGGCCCACGAGGCCCCGAAGAGGGCCCCAAGACGGCCTAGGAGGCTCCCCAGACAACCCAAGTGTGCCCCAAGAACGCCCCAACGGGGCCCAGAGGGGGACCACGAACCGATGTTTCGAGGTATATGGTCCTCTAGGCCCCTAGTAGGCCCCCGGAGGCCACCAAGAGGCTCCCTAGAAGCCCCGTGAGGCCCCCAAGAGGCCCCCAGGAAGCTCCAAAAGGCCCCCAAGGGGCTTCCAGGGAACGCCCAAGAGACTCCCCAACACACCCCAACAAATCATGTACCAAGAAAGCCTTCCGGGGACATGGTTCATCATCGGCCCGAGAGTCTCCAGAGGCTCCGAAGTACCATCACGCTACCTGACGGCGGCGGCGGCGACGAAGACGACGACGAACTTCGACTTCGATGTTCGAAACGGTTGTTCGGAGCTTTCTGCCTTCGGGGGCCGTTCTTGGGCCATGGGGTCGTCGGGCTTCGATCTGGAGTGGAAAACTGCGCTGGATGGATCCTGGGAGGGGTCCATCCGACGACGACGACGACGAGGACGAAGACGACGAAGGACGAAGACGAGGACGACGACGACGACGACGACGGCGGCGCGCCCCAAGAGGCGACGACGACATTACGGCGACGACGACGACGACGGCACGCCCCAACAGGCTCCCCAAGACGCCCCCCCAAAAACCATGTTTCCAGAAGGCCTTCTGGTAACCCGATTCGTCACGCCTCCGCCCACTTAAGCAACGATCTTCCCCGAAAGCCTTCCGTAATACGGATTGCCATGCGTGGATTCCTCACTGCCCATTCAGCATTATGGACGCGTCTTCACTTCCCGTTCAAACCATCTGTGGTCCACGGCTTCAGTGGAGCAGTGAACTCGTCAAGGCCTGGGGCCTGCTAGAGCCTAAGCGCGCGCGAAGCGCGCGCGCGCGTGGTTGTAGTATGTAGATATGTACGTCTATTTGTACATATGAATAGATCTATACACGTCTCAACAGGAACTCGGTCGCCTTCTATGGCGAGTCGAGGCCTCGCCAACCAAAGGAGGGTACGTTGATTTGGGCCCGAAGGCAGGGGCTGCCCCATGCGCGGGTGGCGGAACGGGCACTTCTTCCTCTTGGCCCGTGCGCTCTCGCCGGCCCGCGCCGCGCGCCGCGCCGCGCCCGACTCGCCGGCCGCCGCCCTGGGCCCGCCGAGGCGTGGCGGCGGAGGACGAGGCGGATCGCGAGCGGGAGCAGGTCGCGCTCGCGCAGCGGCGGGAGGAGCCGGCGTCGGCGGCGGCGGCGGCGGCGACGGCGGTGCCGACCTGGTCCGTCGTCGGTTCTTGCTGTTCCCTGGAGGTTCTCTCTCGCTTCGGGGTGCTTTCCAGCAGCTGTGTTTTTTGGGGACGCTTCCCCGAGGGGCCTCTGGAGGCCAGAGTGACGGCCTGAGAACGCAGGGGTCCGACGACATGAGCTTCGATCCTAACGTTTTCCCTTGATTTCGGCCTCTGGAGCCCGTTGCCAGGCCTCGGGACCATTAAGCATGGACCCGGGCGGAAACCCGTCCCCGTGGAAAGGGTCGGCGCTTCGGCGGCAACGCAGGCGTCGTCATCAGCACCGGCGACGTCGGCGCAAACGCCCTCGTCGCCACGGCTGGACGCAGCACGAGAAGCGTTTTCGACCCTGCGAAATGGCTGGGGACGGGCTTTGAGCTGCCGCCGTCTCAGCTCGCGGTGCTGCGAAGGCCGCGCCAGGCCCTGGGGCTCCGGCGGGCGGGGGCCGCCTGGGGGAAGGCGGGGCGGAGGAGGCTCTCGAGGATCAAACTTCTGTCGTGGACGTGCTCGAGCACTTTGTTCTCCGAGGCGGAGACTTAATGGAGGATGGCGATTAATAAATGACCGGGGGTCGTGTTCACGCGGCGGTGCCCCGGGTGACGATTAGAAAAAACAGGCCGCGGGCTGGAAAACTATTTTTCGAATCGCTCTCCTCCAGGCAGAAAATTGCAGAAATAGCAGAAAACATCTGTTTGTATCTTTCTCTTCTTTTTTTTACTAATCGTCATCCCGTGTTATCCAGCACCACGCCTGCGGGGGTCGATCGTCGGGGCCCTCGGCAGGCGGCGGGCAGGGTCATGTTTGGATGCCCCCGGGCCCGGAAGCAGCAACATCCACCGCCCCCGGGGGGCCCAGGACCTCGGTTCCCCAGGGATGTTCCAACCTACTTTGGCCTTGATCACCAGACAGAATTTCGAGCACCAGACGAGTACCCAGAAACTCGAGGGTTTTCACGTGTCGGGCCCTGGGAGACATTGTGTCGACACTCTTTCGACGCGGTGGATGTGGCCAAATCCCCGCCTCGCATTTCTGGGCCCCCGCGCCAGCCACACAGGCACCTTCGTAGGCGGCAGAGGAGCAATGCAGCCAAGACGCTGAAGTAAGGAACCGTTTGGGTTCGGAAGGGGCTCGGTGTTCCTTGGGTTCCTCCAGTGTTGTTCCTCTTGCCCTCCCGGGGCACGGAGGCGCTTACAGGGCCAGGAAGGGGCTTCGTTCCTTATTTAGCGTTCCTTCTTTCAGCGGCCCGACTGGGCCAACATCACGACCTCGCGCACGCTTCTTCTCGCTGCCCTCGTCGTGAGCAGTGTCTCGCCGCTGCGCCCAGGCTCGCGCCTCGATGCGCGGGCCATACCGAAGGAGGTCCCGAGGCGGAGTTTTTTTTCGGAAGGGAGGAGGGACCCGAGGAGGAGGAGGAGGAGGAGGAGGAGGAGGAGGAAGAGGAGGAAGAGGAGGAAGAGGAGGAAGAGGAGGAGTACGCTCAGAATTTCTGGCTCAGCGTGTCGCGTCGCCCGTTCTGGCCCACCACGTGGCGGCGGCGCGACGCGCCGTCCAGGTCCGCGGCCCCGAGCGTCAAAACGTTCCGAGCTGCTCCCAGCCTCCCGCCCTGCGGAGCGGAACGAGAGGAGGAGGAGGAGGAGGAGGAGGAGGAGGAGGAGGAGGAGGAGGAGGAGGAGGAGGAGGAGGAGGAGGAGGAGGAGGAGGAGGAGGAGGAGGAGAAGGAGGAGGAGGAGGAGGAGGAGGAGGAGGAGGAGGAGGAGGAGGAGGAGGAGGAGGAGGAGTTGGAGGAGGAGAGGAGGAGGAGGAGGAGGAGGAGGAGAGAGGAGAAGAGGAGGAGTACGCTCAGAATTTCTGGCTCAGCGTGTCGCGTCGCCCGTTCTGGCCACCGCGTTGCGGCGGCGCGACGCGCCGTCCAGGTCCGCGGCCCCGAGCGTCAAAACGTTCCGAGCTGCTCCCAGCCTCCCGCCCTGCGGAGCGGAACGAGAGAGGAGGAGGAGGAGGAGGAGGAGGAGGAGGAGGAGGAGGAGGAGGAGGAGGAGGAGGAGGAGGAGGAGGAGGAGGAGGAGGAGGAGGAGGAGGAGGAGGAGGAGGAGGAGGAGGAGGAGGAGGAGGAGGAGGAGGAGGAGGAGGAGGAGGAGGAGGAGGGAGGAGGAGTACGCTCAGAAATTCTGGCTCAGCGTGTCGCGTCGCCCGTTCTGGCCCACCGCCTTGCGGCGGCGCGACGCGCCGTCCAGGTCCGCGGCCCCGAGCGTCAAAACGTTCCGAGCTGCTCCCAGCCTCCCGCCCTGCGGAGCGGAACGAGAGGAGGAGGAGGAGGAGGAGGAGGAGGAGGAGGAGGAGGAGGAGGAGGAGGAGGAGGAGGAGGAGGAGGAGGAGGAGGAGGAGGAGGAGGAGGAGAGAAGGAGGAGGAGAGGAGGAGGAGGAGGAGGAGGGAGGAGGAGTGGGCAGGGAGGAGGAGGAGTCGCGATCCGCTTGCAGGGCAAGCGTGCCGCCGGGGCTGCTGCAGCGGCACGGTCGGGAAAAGTTCCTCACCGCGGGCACCAGCCCGTCCGCTCGTTTCCCAAGCGCCACTGCTACCACAAGGAACCACGCATGTCCTGATCGGAGCGGAACGAGGGGAGGAGGAGGAGGAGGAGGAGGAGGAGGAGGAGGAGGAGGAGGAGGAGGAGGAGGAGGAGGAGGGAGGAGAACGAGACGCTATCCGCTTGCAGGGCAAGCGTGTCGCCAGGGCTGCTGTCACGACACGGTTCGGACAAGTTCCTCACCGCGGGCACCAGCCCGTCCGCTCGTTTGCCAAGCGCCACTGCTACCACAAGGAACCACGCATGTCCAGATTGCTCTGACGATGCGCTGCTTGGCGTCTGCTTGTCCTTACCTGTTAGCGTCGTTCCTCCGCTTCCCAAACCCTTGGACCTGTATCGTGGTTGATCATGGAGGACGAGTGGTGCGGAGGGGGAGGAGGGGGAGTATGGTAATAACATGTTTAAACTGAGACAATATGGTCGGTTACACAGTCTTCCGCAGTTGTGGATTAGAGGGGGGGCATCGCGCGTTGGGGTGCACGATGGTGAGCACACACAGATGTTCTCCAGAGGGAATGTCTAACAGGCCGTCGCAAGTCCCGAATATTGTTTGAGAGAAATGTGGGTGAGTTTGCCCACCGCAGGCGTCAATTTGGTTGAGGCAATGTCGTGGGTAGGTCGTGGTTGGGTCGCGGCCCGGGTGTGTCGCGCCGCGGCTGAGTCACGGGTGGGTCGCGGGTGGCTTGCGGGTTCGTCGTGGGTGGGAAGGACGCGGCGCGCGGGGTCGTCGTGTGTGTGTGGGTGGGTGGGTCGCGGAGGCGGATCGCGGGGCGACGGCATAACGAGGCTAAATTATAGCACGAACAACAGAGACAATCCGCACCGCGGAAGACCTCGGGACGGTGTAAGACCGCTCGGCCTCCTCATTCTGATATTTAAGCGCATGGCAGCACCGTGCCCACCCTGCGTGCAGGCTCGCGGGGAACGCGCTTGAGCCAACCAGCGGCGAGAACCGTACGCTTCAGATTTGCGGGCGGGCGTCCCTGGCCCTTGACATGCGAAGGATGATCAAGAAGAGGCTGCTGACCTGGTGCCTGACGTTGTCCATGATTTGCCCGGTTTCCATAGATGGTCGCCCTGGCCACCCGTTCCTGGAAATTTGATAATCTGATCATGCGCCTTCATCTGCTTTGTAGTCCAGTCGAGCTGCTTTTAGTCCATTCGCGCGTCCTCTACGCTACTGCTGCGAAAGCGAATCCCCTCGACATTGCCAGCACCATTCGCAAATTGTATGGCGCTGCTCTTTTACCGTTACGTGGACATTCACATTTTCGCATACGCCTGAATTCCGCATGTCCGTTACAATTGGGCACTCGTTAATGTTGATTGCTGTGTTGTTGCCACTTCGAATTTGTACAGGTGTGCCATGCCTTGTTCTACCGGTGGTAACAGTAACTATGCGCACGCCATGTCAGATTCGCATGCCTGTGCCCCTGCTTCGGTTCCCGCTCCTCTTCCTCCGCGTTCCCCACTACAGGCAGCCCGTATAGTAAGGATGGGCAACCTTCCCAAGGGTACTCCAGATTTCGTAATAAAAGGGAGGGGGTCTGGACCCTCCAAGACAAGCCATTTCAGACCTCCCCTGTGGGAGAACCCTCCAAAACATCGTCCCCAGATTCCCCAGGCCCTCCAAGATAGCCTGGAAGAGACCCCCCCCCTGGAATGAGACCCCCCTCCCTTTATTACGAAATGTGGAGTACCCTTGTAATCTTGCCTCCTCGGTCCATCCTTGGCCACTTCCGTTGACCGCGCCCCGCCTGGAAAGCTTCGACATGGGCGTCCGGTGCCCCTGCGTCCCTCTAACCGCGCATCCTCACAATACAGTTCGACTGCGCTCCTTCACAGCTCCAGAGCTTCCCTCCAGGAGGCCGAGGAGTCCAGACCCAAGCCCGGCGACATGACCGTGGAGGACCCTAGGGCTCGGGCACTCAAACCGATGGCAGACCCTCGACCGGACGAGGAGGATGAGGAGGAGGAGGAGGGGGAGGGGGAGGAGGAGGAGGGGGAGGAGGAGGAGGAGGAGGAGGAGGAGTGAATGGCGGCTGTCTTCCCCTCGCGACGATCGTCGCACGTGCCCAGTCTCGGAGTCTTCCTGCCTCTCTCGCCCTGCCGTCTTACAGCCGCACGGATCGATACAATGAAGTCAGGAGGGGAAAACACACAGACACAATGAATCGTCGATTCCCCCGGAAAATATGGGAAAACATAGGAAGTGGGGGGGAAGACAAAAAGCCTGAAAATATGGGAAAACATGGGGGATCCTTTTATTAGTGTGTACTTATTTGTGTGTCCCAGGGCCCCTTCATTACAGCCGCACGGCTCGATACAATGAGGTCACGCGTGCATCGAGCTGGTTTCCCAGTCGGGAGGGCCGAGTCGCGAGCGCCCCGTGAGCGCGCAAGACGGCCCAGGAGGGTTCCTGGAGTGCCCCAAGATGGCCCAAGACGGATTCAGACGGCCCCGAGGCAAGTCCAAGATGGCCCCGCGGTGGCCCCAGAGAGCACACATTCCTCCTCCTCCTCCTCCTCCTCCTCCTCCTCCTCCTCCTCCTCCTCCTCCTCCTCCTCCTCCTCCTCCTCTTCCTCCCCCTCCCTCTCCTCCCCCAAGAGGGTTCCTAGAGTGCCCCAAGATGGCCCAAGACGGATTCAGACGGCCCCGAGGCAACTCCAAGATAGCCCCGCGGTGGCCCCAGAGAGCACAGATCCAGGTCAGCCGAGTGCCTGAAAGACGCCTGGAGGCAGACGCGTGCCAGAACCTGAGGTGCAGATCAAATCCCACAGCAGAGTTTGCACTGGTCGTCCCTCCCCGGCTGACCGATTGGCCGGCGCTTCTGGCTCTCGTTGGAAGCGGTGCGCCTGCCACCGCACAGCGCCACGGGCTTTCGACCCGCAGGCTTCGTTCGATGTTTTGTTCCATGTCTCCACCCAAGGGCACCCCGTGGGCGCCTGGTGCGACGGCGGGCGTTTCCAGGTCTTTGCCCCCCCCCTCCTCTCCTCCTCCTCCTCCTCCTCCTCTCCTCCTCCCTCCTCCTCCTCCTCCTCCTCTCTCTCTCCTCCTCCTCCTCCCTCCTCCTCCTCCTCCCCCCCTCCCCCTCCCCTCCTCCCCCTCCTCCCCTCCTCCCTCCTCCTCCTCCTCCTCTCCTCCTCCTCCTCCCTCCTCCTCCTCTCCTCCTCCTCCTCCTCCCTCCTCCTCCTCCTCTCCTCCCCCTCCTCCTCCTCCTCCTCCTCCTCATCCTCCTCCTCCTCCTCGTCCCTCCTCCTCCTCCTCCTCCTCCTCCTTCCTCCTCCTCCCCCTCCCCCTCCTTACTCCTCCTCCTCCTCCTCCTCCTCCTCCTCCGTGCCTGCCCGTGGGGGCGCCTCGTTGGCCACCCGTGCTGCCGGCTGGTTCTTCCTATAGGATCTGTTGCCCCCGGGCCCGCCCGTGGGCGCCACCGTCGGCGCCGCGTGGGCTGGCCGGGGCGCCTCCGTGGCCTCGCCCGAGGTGTGCCCGCCATGGGGGCGCCGCGCGCGCGCCCCGGGCGCTGGCCGGGCGCCCGGGCGTTGGGCTGGGCTGGAGGAGGAGGGGGAGGAGGAGGTGGAGGAGGAGGAGGATGGAGGAGGATGGAGGAGGAGGATGGAGGAGGATGGAGGAGGTGGAGGAGGAGGAGGAGGATGGAGGAGGAGGAGGAGCAGAAGGAGAAGGAGGAGGAGGAGGAGGGAGGAGGAGGAGGAGGAGGAGGAGGAGGAGGAGGAGGAGGAGGAGGAGGAGGAGGAGATGGAGGAGGAGGAGGATGGAGGAGGAGGAGGAGGAGGAGGAGGAGGAGGAGGAGGAGGAGGAGGAGGAGGAGGAGGAGGAGGAAGGAGGAGGAGGAGGAGCAGGAGCAGGAGCAGGAGCAGGTTTCGGTTTCGGAGGTCCGCGCGGACTTCTTGGACCGGGGGCGCCGCGCGCGCGCCCCGGGCGCTGGCCAGCGTTTGTCTGGGCTGGGCGAAAGGGGGGGATAGCTAAAACGACGCGAAGATCGGGACAAAATCGGATCGGGATAGCTCGAAATCTCTGAGGATCGGCGGGTGTGGGGGATGTATTGGGCGCCGCGGCCGCTCCAGAGCGTTCCGGAACGCTCTGAGAGCGCTCCGGAACGCTCTGGAGCGTTTGTCTGGGCCGGTTCTGTTGCATCTTCGGGGGACCTCGCCTGTCGCAAAAGTTGTTAGCTTTTGGAGGTCCCGACGCGTGCTCGATGCGGACTCGACGCGGATGTGTCGTGGATTCGGCGCGGATTCGACACGGATTCGACACGGATCCGACGCGTCCGACATGGATTCGACACGGATTCGACGCGGACAGGGCCGCGACGGGACAGACAAGGTCCCCCGAGGATGCAACATAAGGCCGGGCGAAAGGGGGGGATAGCAAAGGGGGGGGGTTGAGAATCAGCTCGCGTAGCTGATTTTCCCGACGCCTCCCGGCGCCGGAGGCGGCTACGTATCGAGGAATGGGCCCCTCGGTGGGGCCGAAACCAGCTGCATGCAGCAGATTTCGTACCCCCCCCCTTTCCCAATCCCCCCCTGTTCGTCCGGCCCGGGTTTGTCCGGGCATTCGCCCGGTTGCCCGCGCGTTGGCGCCCCGTGGGCGTCTCGTGCGCTGGCCAGCGTTCGGGGTGCAGGCAGAGCCAGGCCCTGCCCGCAGGCCCGGGCCAGGCCAGACCTGGGCTCCTCAAGAGCGTGATGCACGACCACGTATACAAAATACCGAGCCCCCCCTCTCTCATCCTTGTCGAATTCACAAGAGGGTTATCTAACAAGTGCGTTTGGTCAACATCTATTTCAAATAATACTACGTGGGCCGCACACGCGCGCATGGGACAATCATGTAATACTCATCGCGTATGCTGCTATATGCAAGTGTATAGATTGAGTAACTATTTGACAACCTTTGGCCTGCTCAGTAAGCGTGCACAAGTTCTGTTCGCGCACTCGCTGAAACCATGAGAGGCCACAAGTGTGTGCCAAGTCTGTCAAATGGGACCATGCGGGCCAGAAGCGCGCGCGCATGTCGGGAACAGTCCGCAGGCATCGCGCACCCGCTAACTCCTTCTCAGATATTATCACGCGGGCCATACGCGCGCGCATCCGCGAGTGCACGTCGGAATTTTCCATCAATCAAGGTTCTCGAAACACTCCAGCGTATAGGTGTTCGAATACACCTGAGAGCCAATTGACTGGTCATACACAAATTTAACCAGATTTCTGAACCTGTGCGCACGCGCACTTCGTCATTATCCTCATCAGGCATAGGCCGTCCCGCGTAGGGCCTTCCCCCTGGGACGATACAGGCGCAATCTTCAGTCTCCAGTCTTCAGTCTCCTCACCAGCACCATCTCATCATCGCCAGCGTCATCATTGTCACTGTCATGACCCTTGTTTCCATCACCATCGCCATCGTTGTCGTCATTCTCCCCACCGTGCCCGCGTGAACGAACTACTTCCTTTAGATTTTCATTTCCGTTAAGAAATGTTAGCCAAGGTGGACCCAACAGTGTTTCCATTAGCTGTGTGTATGGAGCAATCTATTTGATGCAATTGGCTTTCACTTCCTCGCGCGCGACAGTTGCCCACTCCCGCTCATTCATCCCACCCACGCACCCACAATTTGGTTTGCAAAACCCATGCGGCGGCGATTGCGATGGCTGGTTGGCGTTGGCTGGTGCGCCGCTGCGTCCGCGCTAACGCGCGCAGGATCGTGCGCATAGCGGCCAGCCCGTCTGGCGCGACCGACGCGGCCGCGGTGGCGCTGACCGCTGGGAACTCCCCAGCGCGACTCGCAGGCCGCGCTGGCGAGCGGGCACGTCAGTGCCAGTCGGTAGTCCGGGCGAGCGCGGTATCATTGCGACGACGACAGCGGCAGACGTGATGATGGTAGCGATGTTGGTGGCGTCGGCAAAGACGACGGCAAGGGCGCTGACGGCGCCGATGTTGATCACGCCGGTGACGATGGAGGTGTCCCCGGGTCGGCGATGCAAGTGTCGGAAGTACTTCGACATGCGTGTGCAGCCGACGCGCGCGAGTGACCCGCATGGAATTATTTGACAGGGGCCGTGTCCCCCCCCCCCCCCTGCACGCGCGCAAGGGCATTCGACTGATTCCGACATGCGCCCGCGAGAGGCCCGTTCGGTCGCTTCTGATGAGCACGTTGCGAGAACTGCCGGTTTGCTTCAGAATTCGCAAGAGCGCGAGACTTTCTGGACAATTCCTGTTGCAACGCTGTTTGTTTCTGTAGGAAAAAAGCAAATCAACGAAACACGGTTTTTCGGGACGCTCGATGTTGAAATCCCTGCGGGACGGTCGGGTTTTTGATGGGTTTCGGTATGCGTGCGCGACCACGCGCGCGTGTGCACGTCGCCCCGTTGTTTTGAACGGAACCCTGGCGACAGCACGCGCGCAAGGGCGTTCGAATTTCTGACATGCGCGCGCGGGGGAGGCACGTTTGATCGCACCTGATGGAAACATTGGAGCCGATTGTTTTCTTAGGTGCGCGCAAGAGCACGAGCGCAGGTTTTGCTTGACAGCTGCTGGTGCGAACCAATTTGTTTTTTGTCCCCACATTCCTTTGTTGGGTATTTGTTTTGAATCGAGTACTGCGGTCGCCGCGTCTCCTCCTCCTCCTCCTCCTCCTCCTCCTCCTCCTCCTCCTCCTCATCCTCCCGCCTCCCTCTTGTCTCTATGTGCTTCTTGCGTACCTCTTGTGTGTGCATCTTGCCTGCGGTACCTTTTTGCGTGTGCATCTTGCCTGGGGGGCTACGATCTGTGAAATTGTCGCCATTTTCGAGGGTTGCTGGGGGGGGGGACGGCATAGTGGCCAGCCGCCGCAGATCCAAATTTGACCTCGCCATCCTTGGGTGGGCTGCGGTTTGCGAAACGGTCGCCATTTTCGAGG